TAATTTTTATGAAAATTATTTATTTTAATCTTTATTACAAATGTATTCCACATTCCGGCCAGTGTTATCCTCCAAACAATGTGCAATTTGAAGGATGTGAAAACAAATGTAGTGAATGTATCTATGCTGGCTATGCTATACATCATGTACAAAAAATGAGTTAAATATAAACATTAAATTACAACTGCTTCACTAAATTAAAAATGATAAAACAAAAAACAAAGCACAGATTAAATATAGATTAAATATAGAACACATACTCATCTGAACATAGTAATTGTATTACCTGTACATCCAGTATTAACAATAAATATTTTAGCAAAATGTATTAAAATTGTGTTCCGGTTCTGTTTTGCTCTGTATGTTTGACACACATCTGTGTGCGCTGACACTTGTGAAAAAGTTTACAGAGACTTGCTAGCTTTCAGAACTAGCCTGTACACAAAATGGAAATAATCGATTCCCCTATTAGTGTTGTCAAAATACTGGTACTGGTATTTGTATGAGTGTTTGTAAAGAGCATCAACGGTTTCAATTTACAATGTGTTTTTGCAGCACTGAGCATTGTAGCCAATCAGATATGTTTTTTAACATGTGAACGCTATGTCCAATCAGAGGCGAGGAAGTCAGAAACGCCAGAGTTCGTTCAGCTTGAGTTCTGCACTCTCGCGAACAGGGGTACGTTTCACGTACAATAACCTACCATGCATAACTAGTCACGACTGTTTCCCAAACACAGTTGCATCTCCGTGGTTTGAACCACAGTGGTTCAACAATACTATATAGTTAATGACTTCACACGCATGTGGTGGAGTAATAACTTCTGCTAATTAACTGAATCGAGACCTCTGAGATGCTGCTGTATTGAACATGCCATCTGATGACTAATTTACTATTTTTTGTTCCCTGTCATTTTGCTTTATTTGAAGTTTGAATTATCGTGGGTTCCCTATGTCCTACTCCTGAGTTCAGGCATTTATGCACATGTGCACTCTTCAATAACAGCGCTTATTGAGGATGCACTAAAATATATTATAATGTATATATATTTAGATGGAATGGAAGATATAGATTGTATTGCACGTTAGCTTGTTTATTGTGCCTATAAGAGAATAATTTATTTAAGTCCATGTCTTACAAGAAACTATGCCTCTAACCACAGGTCGAGAGTTGTAGTTCCAACCACGCTGTTTGCAAATGTTGGTTTGAACTATGGTGTCGGGAAACAGAGAATTGTTGAGCTATGTTGGTAACGATGGACCTTGCGACCATAATTGGCTATCGATTTTTTTTGGGAAACGAACCCCAGATGTGTCAGAAAAGATCTGGGCATTAATTCTTGCAGCATAAGTGCAATAGACCAGACACTTTCTTTGTTATTTTAATACTTTAATCTTTTTAATACAATGTTTACAAAATGTAACAATATTTAAAGGCTACATGCTAACGTATTTACTTATAATTATTCATAGCATTACAATAGTTTTTATTATGGTACCGAAATTGGTGCAGAGAACCGTGGGTTTATTGGTATTGGTAAGGACTACTGAAATGTAGGTAGGCTACCATGACAATACTATCCCCTGTGGAGAAGATTTTTACTTCCGGACAGTGACTACTGCAATCTGTGTGAGACTAAAGTATGCTGCAGATGTGAAGAATAGAATGTAGTGGGCAGAATGTACTCTTAAATGATTTCAGACCCCTGATGACACACAGTGCCATTCCAGTTTAACTCTATTAAGTGCTGCGTAATGGGGACAGGAAGTACTTCATAGACCAAGCATCACAAACCATAAAGTGTTAAACAACAGGGCATTTCATAATGGGACACACCCTCACATAAACCAGACATCTAGTCATTCAGAAACTGCTGCCCCAAGTTACATCCATTTCTACTCAATGTCACTAATGAATCAGATATAACAAAGCTCAAATACACAAACTGTGATGAAAACACATATACACAACTACTACACCCTGAAATACACACACTTATATCATTCTCCCAGCAAACACACCCTAGGTCTGGCGGGATGCATGACATGTGTGCTTGTTTTTCTTTGCAGCTGCTTTCAGCACACCAGCTAATCACCACCAGATGTGATGAAGAGAGACACAGAGACACCCACCCAGAGAGAGAGGTTGAGGAGCATATGTGTGTGTGACAGATTGGATGTAGAGAAAAATGGAGAGGAAGATAAAGACAAGAGAATGACAGAAGAGGAAGGAAGTGAAGTGGGACAGTAGAAATGCACACTTGTTCATCTAAAAGAGACAGAGGCTGAAAAGATTGGAGGATTGTGAATAATAAAATGCGTAGTGCATTTACATATACTTTAAAAGTCTGAAGTTAGGATGAATTAATACTTTGTCCTCTTAAAATGATGTTTAAATTTAATGAGTGCATGATTATAGCTTGTATTCGTCTGGACTGCAGCATTTATAAGTGTAAAAATCTAAAAAGAAAAATGAAAATTTGCTGGAAATGTACTCAGCCTCAGGTCATCCAAAATGAGTTTATTTCTTCATTGGAACAGATGACATTACTTCCCAATACACCAATGGATCCTCTGCAGTGAATGGGTGCCGTCAGAATGAGAGTCCAACCAGCTGATAAAATCATCACACTAATCCACAAGTAATCCACACACCTCCAGTCCATCAATTGACATCTTATGAAGTGAAAAGCAGTGTGTTTCTGAGAAACAAATCCATCATTAAGGCATTTTATCTTTAAACCTTTGCTTCCGGCCAATATTTGACTCCGTAATCCATAATAACGCTTCCTCCAGCTTCCATTCTGATGGTCAGCAAGGGATGTCATGCTAAATTTCCCTAAATCTGTTCCATTGTAGAAACAAACTCATCTTGGATGGTATGAGGGTGAGTACATTTTCATTTTAGGTGGACTATTTCTTTAATACAGTTGTCCTTGCTTGTTGTATCATGCAGGTGTCGACAAATAGCAGTAATGTGCTATATTAAACTATTCAACTACGCATATTGTCCCACCGCCCATCCCCACCCCCCAAGCTCCCTCTATCCCTAGCTGCCCGTATGCAGCTTTCCCACAGAAAAATATTCCCATATGACTGATTCTCTGGAAAACACATATTCATGATTAAAACCATGTATTTTTAGTATTTATGAAGACTGATCTGTGAATGCAATCAACAGCACTTTCATGTACAAATATGGAATGGGACTTTGTATTTTATATTGGCCAGTGAGTATACACAGTATGAGCTTCATAAGGTGCAGTATGCCAGCAGCTCAGTAGGGATCGGAACTGGATGTGCTTTGGTTGTCTGTGTCTTGTTGTGCATGTGTGGACCTGTCCAGTTTCTTCAGAGGGTATAAAGAAGAAAAGGACATGTTTGAATGCATCCTTGATACCCGTTTGTAGTTTTGAGGGAGCTTCAGCATTCCTTTATTTCTATAACTAAGTTAAAGAGGAATTTAGAGCTTGATTTGAGACCCTGTAGCCTCCCTCATTCTCAAACAGCAGGAAGGCTTTGTAATAAAACACTGTTACACCATCAGAGGTTTTGTGCTTCATACTTCCTGTGATCAAGAGTAGTCATGGATAACAAGAGATCTCTCAGTTTCCTAACTGCAGTTTAACCCTTGGAGGAAAATCCTCCCTAAAAGAATACAAATGGATTTGTAATGTAAATATGTCACTACATTTAATACCTCAAAACTCCACCGGGGATTGTGTGTGTCAATGTATCATCTGTCCGGTGTTTCTAAACACTCTTCCTCTGGAGCTACAAAAACTCAGAGGAAAATGATCCAGACAGCATGACCCGTTAATACTCCATTAAATATTAAATATTGTCATACGTACAAGTAAATTACATAGGAATTGACATGTTTCTTTAAATTCAGGCACTTTTATGTCCTAGAGGTTTAATAAAACTATCACGTGAACTATTAACTAACTTATGAAGGTCATATTAAAACCGTCTTTACCTTTTCCCTGACTCTTATTTTACTTACTTTACTTTTGCTTTTTGTTATTAAAAATAATAACCTTTTTTGTATACTTGTTTACAAATGTCAGTAACATACCATTTTTTTACTTTGAATAGCATTTAACAGTTTTATTGTGTGTGTGTGTGTGTGTGTGTGTGTGTGTGTGTTGATGGTGAACCTATCATCACTGTATTTTAAGGACTTTCTGTCTGAAGTCAGTCTTTCTGCTGAACCTTTTTCACAATTGAAACTATGACTCAACAAAAAAAGTATATTATGATGAAAGGCGGATGCACGGAAGTGTGCGATTGTGCGTAAATTTATGAATGATGTGAACTTTGACTCTTTATGTCATTCAGAGTATGGAAAAAAACAGACTTCCCTCTGCGGCCAGAGCAGCTGCACCAAAACCAATCTCTGTCATAAACACACACACACACACACACACACACACACACACAAAGACACACCTGTTTCCGGGATACAGTAAATCTCTTTAGTGGAACACCAAATCCACAATTCTAGTTAGATTTTCATTCGAATATCATATGAAGCTTTTCACTGAAGCCTGATTCATATGCTGTTAAGCAGTCTTCATGAAATAAAGACCCTCTTGTTTGCTATCAAACCAGCATGCTACAGGAAGACTATACGACTGTGCTGTGTTCAGTGTTTACCTAAAACATGTTTTCTGCTGCCATAGGACCATAAGAATGTGTTTCCAGCAGATAAATTGAAGTGCAGTTGTGCATGAAATACTATATCTTTGCATTAATGGAAGTCAGAGAGTTCAAATGTAGCCGTTGCTCAACATTATCTCAGAAGCACTGAATGAGTGTGTGCATGTGTGTGTCACGTCAGGTTTCTGACCTGCATATGTAGCTGTAATCGCTGTGATTCAGTAGTGGCATGTGCACATACTCCTCACACATGCTCTTGGTCAGAAAGCCTACTAAATTAGAAAAGGTGGAGCGATGAGAGAAAGAGGGTGAGAGGGGGATGGGGTTAGGAAGAAAAAGGAGGTGATTGTTGGGGAGTTAGAGAGAGCAAGGGAATGAGAGCAAAGGAAAGAGGATACCAGAAAAATACTGTCAGGTTTTAAGATCGTAAGATAATATTTCTTGGACTACCGAGAAAATAGGTAAGAAATTAAAGTTTTTGGTTTTTATTCATATCTTTGTTTGAGTTCTTTATTCAATACGCTAACCTTACAACTTTAGTTTTGTCACAAAATAGCTGAGAGACAGCAAACAACAGACAGGCTCAATACAAAAGCCTTTTACTTACTTATCAAAATACCCAGAAACCCTGCATTTCTTTATCACATGGCTGTAGTGTTTTTCTCTCCAAAACTCATACCAATGACATTAGAGTGTTTTTATGTGCTCTGACTGGTTTTAAATAGAGTTTATCCATGGCAAAGAATGTTAATCGATATTTTAACCAAGGGCAGCTGACACACACTCACTCCCATATGTGTAGAAGTTTGCTAACTGGTGTGTTTAGCAATGGAGTGATTTGGAACTGCTGGATTGTCTGTATTCACTCTGCTAAATGTAAATATTTTTTTTTTTGGAGCTAATCTGCACTGAAGCTCTAGAATGTCAGTTGAGAAAGCAGGTTCTGAAGCTCCACTGGCTGTTTACTCAGCATTCATTCCATAGCCAGCTCAGTGGTGATTATTCTTTCTGTTTTTTCAATTCAGGAAATTCTGCTTGATCCCTAAAAGTACTTGATGCAGCCTAATATAGTCAGGTTGACATGTGTAGACACTGTGTTGCTGTAACAGAATGTGCAGCTATCAATCATTCAAACTGCCTGTATCTGTAGGATCACACCTGAAAAAGTGGTAACAGGCAATTGCTGTTACTGTTACACTGAGGCAGGATTAATTTCTGCTTGGTTTGAATCTTTAAAATGAATGTTGTTGGTGTAACTAAATGCATATTTTTCATTTTAATTTTTACTTCATTCAGATGTTATGAAGTTCTTGTTATGTTGCCTGACAAAACATTGTAAAAAAAATTACTGAGTTACTGTAATTAGACTTGTTTTGTATCAAATTATGTGCTAAATGCATAGATGTCAATGTAATGACCTAAAGCAGCTAATACGTTTGAAATACAGTGTTTCAATCTTTAACATTTTTAAAAGTGTTAACAGATTAAGCTAAATTTTATTCAAAAATTAAATAAAAAAGTTCATTTTTCTTCTAGCATATTCATAAAATGTTTATGTAAATATTTTACGGTACACTTATAAGTCAAGAATGGTTAATAATGAAAGGTCGCACACTACACGAGATCACAACAACTCTGTCACCCAATGACTCTATCCAGTCCCCAAACCAGTTTTGTCACAAAAACGCATGAGAAGTGGAACAGGAATGACACAAAACAACACATGAAACAGGATTTGAAAATGGAAAGAAATTAGCACTGCAAGCTATTTGCGTGATGATCTGTTCTGAAAACTTTTGCTCAATTTCTTGTTTCCACACTTTTCTTAAAGAAAGAATGTTGCTGCTGCTGTTTTTCTTTCAGTGACCTTAACCCATGCCATGCTCTCTCATTGGCTGTAGCTTGTCGCAACACCAGCCTCTTTGATGCAACGTTGAGTAGTTCACACAAAGATTGCGGAGCGCTGATCACCCGTTGATTTTCCCCCGATCACAGCCGATCGAGTGTGAACTTGGCATTAGTGACTGATTTATTTTTTATGTTTTTAGCAGAAGTCATGTTGGGGTGTGGACGTCCTGTCATCCTTCTCCTCAGCATCAACTTTCTGGACCTCTCTTTTGTGTCGTCATCATCTTCATCATCTCAGAATGCCACTCAACACCGTTTCCACCCTTCTGGAGGGAGCGATTACTACAATGAATATGAGGACGTCACCACTGAGCCTCCCAGCACATCCTCTACTCCCTCTGAACACCCAGATCGCAATCCGTGCAATTATGATATGTGTGTGGAGCAGCAGCACACCTGCCTGGAGCTGGCAGAAGCCACAGGCTGCCTCTGCCCGGGGTTGAGCAAAGGTTTCACTCCCCCGAGTCCACCGCGCCACTTGTATCTGACTCAACAGGATGGCAAAGGGGTTGTGGTGCACTGGTGTGCTCCCACCTCCATTGTCACCCACTACAATGTCTTGGTGAGAGGGAATGGCAAAGTGAAGGATAAGAAGATAGAGGTGGAGGAGAAAAAGAGGGCAGCAGTATTGGAGGATGTTGAAGCTGGTACGCACATATGTGTAGAAGCGGTGAATAAAGGCGGCGTCAGTGCAGAGGATGATCAGTCTTGTGCCACATTTGAACCCAAAAATACAGACTCTGGACTTGCGCTGAAGCTGGGCATTATTGGGGGTGTGGTGGGACTCATACTGCTGCTGATTCTGGCTCTGCTGCTGTGGAGACACAAATCACGGCAGAAATTCACCACGCGGACCGAGACTGAGGGAGTTCTGTAACGTCTGCGTGTGTATGTTGCCAAAAAAATGCACTTTTACTTCATCTCGGTATGAATGATGGGAGTAAATGAATGACTGTGGACTGATCGCTCGCTGTGAGTGTGCTGGAAAGAGGGAGTGAATGACTCAATGAGCATGAACAGAAAGAGGGACGCAGAGAAGGTGGACGAATGATTCAGCACATTCTTCTCATTTGCTCGTCAGTGTCTACCAATGTGATTTAGGACAGAGACAATTTGTATACTGCTGGTCTGCTGACTCCAATTATGGGCACCATTTCGAGCCCACTTCCTGATCACAAACACATTTTAAACTTGTGTATGTCTGTTTCTTCCTCCTGCATGTGTTTTCAAAGAAAAAGGCTGAATCACAGTTTTTCGCATTTAGATTTAGGCCTGGATCGGATCAAATGATTTGTACACATTTTAGGTCACTTTGGTAAGAAGGAGTTTGCTAAGAAAATCTGTGTAAATCTTACTAATAAATAAAAGATTTTTGTGTTTTTTTGGACGTTTTAGTTCCTGATCAAATAAAATATATATTCCCATACAATACCACATGTACCCAAATCACAGATGTGTCGAAACTGTGTACTGAATATATTCTTATATCATGTGATTACCATATACAAAAATCTACACTGAAATCTAACATCTTAAATCATTATATTATATTATTATATGCTAAAAACATATTATATGTACTTTACTGATTTTTTTAGAGACAGTCACCTGAACCATAAATGTCATGTGACTATTCACTCTACAGCCACAGGGAAAGGATGTCATGACAACACAGATTGGCTGTTGACCACACAAGAACACACACTGTCCAAACCCAAACCCTTAGCAACTATCCTGAACTGTGACGTCACAGGCGAGGAAAATATCTCCATTTCACCCTTTTAAGAGCCATCTAAACAAGAATCAAGCTCTGGTAAAGCATCTACTATAATATAGTGAAACATTGTTAATATGTTGCTTGCAATAAAATTTCTGCAGTCATAATATATGGAAAATTTTAAATAGCTGACAATGAGAGCTGCTTATTAAAAAGCTGCTTATTAGAAACGGATTGTGCAAACAAAGCAAACCCAAACACACACACACACACACACACAAACACACACTTTTTTTAAAAGGTCCTGGCATCAAACCTGGCACCATGTATCATTAAACCAAACAAACAACATTAAATACTTCAAATAACAACAAAACAAAACATCTAGACCCTAAGCTCCTCCATATGCAAAAGCAAGTAAATGACATGATTTAAGTAAATACATGGTTTAAGACCAAGTGTACAAATTCTATTCTCAAGGGGCAGATTCAACCAAAAACAAGGAGCAACAACAAAGAAGGCACAATCTCCTTTAGACTTGAGGCAAGATTTAGGGACAGTTAGAGAAGGGTCTGGCTGCAGCCTTGCACTTGTATTCTCAGACTTGCATTCTCAGACACTTGCGCTTCTGCTAGCAACGTCACTTGCAGTCTTTTTTATTTTATATTTTGTTCTATTTATTGATTACTTTTTGTTTGAATCTCTCAACATTTTACAACAGTAGCCAGGTGGTGAAGACAAGGAAAAAAAAACTATCTTACAATGTCACTTGCAATCGCCACTTGCACTCTCCCATACCTGCGACGTCACTTGCAATCGACACAAATCGTGCGTTGCCAATGGAGACAAGACGCTGTGGTGATTAAACGATTAAAACTAATTTTATACTATAACGTACAGAGAGTCCTGCAAGAAAAAGGCAAGACCCGCAAATCCGTGGCTACAGAACAGCAGAATATGAACGCAATGCACAAAGTCTCTCGTTAAGCGTTTTCCTCCTGCAGAAAAACATAAACACTTAACATGGCGTAATGTAAGATGCTATTAAAATATCAAATTAAATATACAGTTTATTAATATAATGAATATGTATATAGTATTTTCCTCCCACACCGCAAAACGTGGCATAATGTGGCATAATGGACTAAGATGATAAAGACCAAACTCAATGCTCTT